TGTCTGTGATTTCTTCGGCGAAGAGAGACTTAGATCGGACATGGCGGCTGACAATACCGGTGCGAAATCGAGCTCCGCTGCGGATTCTTACGTTGGGAGCTTGATTAGTTTGACGTCTAAGAGCGAGATCAGATACGAAGGGATCCTTTACAATATTAATACAGATGAATCCAGTATCGGACTTCAAAACGGTACGATTCGTTTCCACTTCCGTTGTTGGATAATTTGATGCGTATTCTAATTTCGCTGGTGTATCGCCCTGTGTTCTCTTTATTATTTGGTGGACACTCGATTGTTTTTTTTTTGGTTATTCTTATGAAATTGAGCTCAAATCTTTAACTGTTTAGCTCGATTTGAAAAAAAATGTTGGTCTTGTGCTTGGAATTCATGAAAATAAGTGTTCATGTCTACTGTCCAAGTTATTAAATTGTAATTGATGCCTTGAAACTATTGGTTGAGCACGACAGCTTAGTTGGTCGATGGGGTTGTTTTTGGTGAGATTGATATGTTCTGATCCCTGAAATTTCTGTGTGTAGTTCGATCATTTGGAACTGAAGGAAGGAAAAAAGATGGTCCGCAAGTTCCTCCAAGTGACAAAGTTTATGAGTACATATTGTTCCGTGGAACTGATATCAAGGTATCCTCACCAGGATTATCCTAATGCTTTTATGTAAATATTTTATCAGTGCCGTCAGCCTCCCCACTTTGTACTCTAATTTTTCTTGTTGTTGGCAGGATTTGCAAGTTAAAGCTTCTCCACCAGTTCAGCCTCCCCCACCTACTATAAATAATGACCCTGCTATAATTCAGGTGAATGTTAGAATTGTTGTAGGATATTATTCTCTGTGATCTTACAGTCAATTGATTTATCCTCATTCTCCACTCATTGTTTTGCAGTCTCACTACCCTAGCCCGATTCCAACATCTGGTAGCTTGCCTTCTACCGCAAGTGGGTCACTGCCTGACATTAGTTCTCATAGTGGACAGCCTGGACAACACGGGATGGGATTTCAAAACGCGATGCCTTTGTATCAGCCTGGTGGGAATCTTGGTTCGTGGGGAGCATCGCCACAACCGCCAATGTATTGGCAAGGATTCTACACCCCACCTCCCAATGGCCTTCCCCAATTGCATCAACAGTCTCTGATTCGACCCCCTCATGGGCTGCCAATGCCCAATTCTCTGCAGCAACCCCTGCAATATCCTAACTTTAATACCCCTCCACCTACTGGTCCATCAAGTTTGCAGGGTTCGAGCTTGCCAGAAGCACCCTCGTCATTATTTCCTTTTAGTACTAGTTCTCAAATTCTAGCACCTAGTTCATTGCCTTTCCCTGGTCTACCACCTGTGACGCTGTCGTCAAGTCTGCAGTCTACACTGCAATCAGCACCATCTCCTTCACTAGCTTCAGAGATGGCGCCTCCATTACTCTCGAACAAAGCTCCTATTACTGGGCCGCCTACCCTACCTCAGGACACTAATTTGCTTCCCTTTTCTCTATCAACTACTAGAGCCACAGAAGCAAGTCCTGGCCTTTCACTGCCTAACAAGCCTAGTGTAGTTACTGGTCCAATTTCTCAGCCGCAGACAACACCATTAACATCTGCTCCTGTTGCTGTGGTTTCTAGTTCCATTAGCCAAGATAAGCCAAAACCTTTGTTGGTTACTCCTGACCAACTGCTGCAGTCTGGATCCTCTGCAGTCTCTTTGTCCCCACCCTCTACCAATGCAGATAAAGATGTTGAGGTGGTTCAAGTATCATCATCAGCTGGGTTGGAACAATCTGTTCCAGTTACATCCGAAGCCCAACCTCCAATACTGCCATTGCCTTACTCCGCGAGGCCAACTCACAAGGTTTTGAATTTACAAAAATTGCCAAATCTTTTATTGATATTTCTTCTTTTCTTCGGAGGAGGATGAAATGATCTTACATTTGCTGATGTCTGAGATAGCTGGAATAATGTGTAACTTGTTATATAATTGAACCTGTGGTAGTGCCCATTTATTTTTCCATACTATGTCTCTTTGCCTTTGTCTAATTAGCATGAAAATCTCTCTAGGTTCCTTCCTTGATGTTTTAGATTTTGCTGTACACGTCTAACCTATATAGAGTCTTCATGGTGATAATAATTTTAACTCATTTGCTGTTCTTTTTTTCTCAGCCAAATGGGCATTCTTTCCCAACTCATAATGGTTACAGGGGACGTGGAAGAGGAAGAGGAAGAGGAGCAGGGGTAATATTCTTCGCACTCATTTGTATTATGTGATTTGTTTTTACCGAGGAAAGAGCTACTAGGTAAAAATAGTTACTGAACTAACACCATGTATGCTTATAATTCTCCTTGTTGGCAGAGATCACACCAAGTAATGAAGTTCACTGAAGATTTTGATTTCACTGCAATGAATGAAAAGTTCAATAAGGATGAAGTATGGGGTCATCTTGGGAAGAGTTCTACCCTAGATGGTGATGAGGATGATGATTCCCCCATTGTAGATGAGGCTGAGCTGCCTAAGATCGATGTCAAAGTAAGTGAAGTAGACTTATAATCCAGTCAAGTAAAGCCACTATGTTCCCTTTCTTTGGTCTCATACACATTTTTTTATTGATATAGCCTGTTTACAACAAAGACGACTTTTTCGATAGCCTCTCATCAAACAACATTGACAGAGAGTCCCAAAATGCAAGGCCTAGGTTCTCAGAGCAACGAAAACTGGATACTGAGGTACAATCTATATATTTCACAGTCGAATAGCATACTGGACATAATTAGTCCCCTCTCTTTTCTGGTGATACTTAATTTTTAGTTAAGAGAAACTCATTGACTAAGAAACGGTATTGGTATTGATTCCAGACATTTGGTGAGTTCTCGAGATTCAGAGGAGGTCGAGGAGGACGCGGTGGTTATGGTCGAAACGGTTATTCACGGGGTGGTTATGGTGGCCGTGGTTATGGAGGTTATGGTGGCCGCGGTGGTGGCGGTGGCGGTGGCGGCTATGGGTATGGTGGACGTGGCCAAGGGAGAGGCGTATCAAATCGTACTTCCTGATAAGCTCTGCTATAAAAGGGTTCTAAAAACTCAAAAAATCCAATGGGAGCTCAGTCTTTTGAGTGCTGTTGGTATGTGGCAATAAAACAAAAACCAGAGTCCTTATGTAATATTTCTATTAAACCCCCCTGGTGTGGTTTTCGAGTGTATCAATTTGATTTCGGATCTTTGTTTTAAGACATGGTAATAGGGTCTTTCTTTCTTCTATATTAAATGTTATTTTGAACTTTTTGTAGACTTGACATTTTGTGTGAAATGCATTTTTATCTCAATAGCTTCTTGCTGTTTACTTGTTTAGTTACGGTGGGTTACCCACTTACCCTGGACTTAAAAGTCAACATGTTGACTATGAGCACAGTTCTAGCAGCCTTAAATTTCATGGGCCGTATAAAGAGGAAAGAGAGGTCTTTATACAGATCCGTAATGTTTTTTCTTTTGGTTTCTCAAAACATCTTCTTGTCGGCAACTATTGGAGTCTGAGAGAGTGTACTCTACTGTACCACCCACTAAACTTTGAAGAGAGATATATAGAAAAGAATGGGAAGTGTGGATTCTTCAAGACTGTCACTGGTCTTGTTTGCAAGACTCTCCGGTTTAGTAATCGCAGTTTCGGTTCTGTACTGGGCTCTCTTCCTCCCTAGTCAAGACTTCGGCTACTCTGTAATCATCACACTCCTTGCTCTTTGATTTCAATTGGATCTCCAAACATCTAATCAAGTTTATACTTTACATGTAGACTCTCCATCCTCTGCTGATGGTGATTGGCTTCATTCTTGTAAGTGGAGAAGGTAGTGATGATCATCCCTCTTTTTCAATGAAGAAGTACTCTTTATTTCTTGGATATTTATCAAGAAACTGGGGTTCTGATCTGCAGCGATTCTGATACACAAATGGCTACCTGGTTCAAGGAAAACTAAGAAGGCAGTACATCTGTGGCTACAAGGAGTGGCATTGGCCTCTGCTGTGTTTGGGATTTGGACAAAGTTCCACTACCAACGTGGAGTGTTTGCCAATTTCTACAGTCTCCATTCTTGGATGGGATTACTCTCTGTTTCTCTCTTCGCTGCCCAGGTTCGTCTTTTTCTATTTCCACCAACCAATATTATTTTTACTCTAATAATATAATACTATATAGCCTCTGACATAAATTTTAAATGCATCATCGAAAAAGAAATAGATGCTTTCAAAGATTTAAAAGCTTACATTTTAAAAGATCGGGTCACACACATTGCTGTCGATATAATTTCTCTTTTTTTTTTTTTTTTTTAAAAAGCTTGCCATCAATAATGCAATTGCAAAGAATTAAAGAAAGAAGTTGTATAACCCCCCACTTGGGATTAGTTTCTGATTTGTCACGGAAGCTGAAGCTGACAAGATTCCCCTAAAACATTATAAAAACGAATTATTCATTATTGAAACAGATAGAACCATTCATTACTGTCACTTCAACCTATGCTCTCCTACATAGTTTATTGCTGAAGTGCCGGTCGTTGTTAATTGGAGTGACCGTTTCTTAAGAAAATGGAAACTAAGGCATTAAGTTATCAGCAGCATTTACGAAAAGGCCTTGGCTCTTGAGTGAGACCAGTTTTGAAGATTTAATAATATAATGACGTTGTTGTGTTGCAGTGGGTGACTGGGTTCATGAGCTTCTGGCATAGAGGAGAAGTACGGACAACAAGAACCACGTTTCTTCCATGGCACGTCTTCTTCGGACTCTATACATACAGCCTAGCCATTGCTACTGCCGAGACCGGACTGCTTGAGAAACTGACGTTCCTTCAGACCAAGAGGAACGTCCCCAGGCGCGGTTCTGAATCAATGACTGTCAACGGTCTAGGGCTTGGCTTGGCTCTACTCAGTTGCATTGTTATTACTGCTGCTGTTTTGCCAAAGTATCAGAGCCATTCTGGTAATGAGAAACTTGTTTATTCATCTCAAGATCGTCCCAAATGTTTGTCTTCTTGAGTTTTCTTTCTCTCATTTTTTGTGTCTGTATTGGATTTGAGAACAAACTACACATCTCTGGTGTACAAATAAGAACAAATTAGTTCTTAGAAAATGTATTATCGCATTGTGATGATCAGACTTCTGTCCACAAACTTGGCTCCTCCAACCTTTCCTTGAATCTGAGACGGTAAATTAATCACCCGTCTTTGGTCTCCAGCTTCTATTAAGAGCTCAGAACCTCCTCTGTACTGCAGATTCATCAAGAAAACCAAAAATCATTCTCAGTTCTTATTTCCATAGGAACAGAAGAACTTTGCAGGCAATCACCTTATGCCAGTACAGAAGAGGTAGAACAATGAAGATAGCTTAACAAATGTAGGTGAGAGTCTGAGGGAGGTGAGAAAGCCTTTTACCTGGTACAGTTTGATTTCCGATTTTTCAAAGCCAGGCATGAAAAGAGTCACCAATTTCTTTGCTGTATCAAACATTACTGTTGTTGTCAAGCTGCTTCCATTCCTTACTGTTTCAGATAATAGTTCCCGGATACTCGCATTCGCTTGGTCCAGCAGAATTTTGCCCCAATCCAGACCATCTACAGTAAATGGAACTGATGCAGAAGCAAAGGGCAGAGGCACGAAATCTTCTTTTGGGATTTTGCTTGTCTGATGAGAAGAAGAAATAGCAAACGCCCCGGAAGCATGTGATCCTGCTTGTACTGTACAACCCCAATACCGTAATGCAGCTTTAACAGACATAGGATTATTTGGGTCCATTACAAGAAAACTCCTGAATCTCTCTGGATCTCTCCAAGCTGAAGCACCTGTCTACAGTTTGCAAAAATCCATATGTAATTTGGGAACAAAATAAGTTGAAGACACTGAGTTATGGGATAATAGATCACCTCCAATAAACGTTCCAAAGTATCCCACATGGCAGGACTTGTCATACCATCGAATGGCGACTTATTGCCGCCTATGTTCATTGACTCATCAACAAATCTCATAATGGAAGGACTTGTTAGCCTCCCCAAATCCGTCTTCTCGGCCAAACTTCTCAGATATTTCACATACAATCTGCAAAAAACAAACTTCCTAAGGGTTGCACGAAAGGAAAGAAACACAGAGAATGAGAGAAGTAAAAAGAAAAAAGAAAAGCAAAACATAAAGAGACCTTGTTTTACTGCTTAAACCTATCATCCGAAGAGTTTCCTCAGTGCTAATGCCATCGTAAATTACAACATCAAAAGTCTTCCCCTTGTGGTTCTTTCGGGTTGCTTGCCTAAAGAAACCAACAAGCCTCTCGAGTTCAAGCATTGAAAAGATAGAATCCATCCCTGGAAGCACTCCTAGCTCTTCACCAACCACCTACTAGACATCAATAGCCAAAACAAATTAGGACTTAAAATCCCAAAATCTGATCTATCGAAAGTTGCAGATACCAAGTTGTGTCACATACCCACCCCTTCAAGAACCCCTTGGGTCATGTTAAGTCGAGCGTCTGCTAGCTTCAGCTGTTTAAGAGGTTCTAGAAGCATCTGCAGTGTTTCAAGAAATCGTCGTTAAGCAATTTCAAACCCTGAACCAACCAGACATGAAGTAACCAAAAAAAGGGACGCACTTTTGTGGTTTCCAGCCTAATGACAGAGAGATTGTCGTTGATCAAAGTAGGAGAGGTCCCAATCTTGGTTCCAAGGAGGAAATCAGCAGAAGGGTCTTGACTTTGTACCACTAAGCATGTACTCAATCCAGCCAATGCGTAATGCTATGAGCAAAGCCATTTTCCAAAACTTAGTTAGCAACAACACATTCAAATTCTACAGTCAGCAAAAACATCAAAACTAAGCAGAGATTAGAATCAATACAACACTCAATTGTAAACATTATAGGATTCAGAAATCAGAATTGAATGCCGAGGAAACTTCAGGACTTGCGTCAGGAAATCAGACAACTGATTGTTGTTTTTTTATACCTGAGCGGCGAAAACAGCGGCGGTGGTCTTACCGGAACCGCCTTTTCCAAGAAATGTGACGAATTTGGTGGGTTTCTGAGAAGAATCACTGGCGGTATCGTTATCATATCTCGGAGTCGTTGCCGCCACATAAGCTGCTCGACATTGTCTGGAGGGTGAAACTGGTGATTCAGTCCGCGTAAAAGGAAGAAGATTCAGAGTAAGGCTTGAGCATGTAAGAGAAGAAGTGACCAAAGACACCATTTTTTTTCTCTTTTTTTTCCGGTAAATTCAATAGATCAGATTGGCCGGAGAGCTCAACTAGAGCCGCTTGTAAATTAAAAGGAGTTAACCCGGCGACACACAATTCACGTTTGCGTTCTACTCACAGAAAAAAGGCGGTTTAAAAAAATTAAAATACATAACCGACATTAACCATATGCTGATCCATTAAATTACAAACCTTTTATAACCAAAACGGCGCGTTTTCGCTGAGGTAGAAGAAGATTGGTTTACCTGAGATTGTCTTTCACCGAGAGCAAAAGAGTTTTGGTGTGATTTGTGATTTCATAGAGGAGGAGATTAAGAAGATCGATTTGAGCAATCTCGATTGAAACAAGATGGTACGTTTTATCGTTGGCTCAGTTCATCGTTGAATCGATTAATTTGTTCAATATATCAATTTGGTGGATATGCTAATTTTATCTTCTGCTCCTTGAGGGTTGTAAAATTGGGGATAAAACTGTGTTTGCTCGTTGTAATGGATCCCCGTAGCTCTAAGTATTTAGTATTGATTTTTGGCTGCGATTGGTATGAATCTATGTGGAGATTTTAGGGTATTAGGTGCTAGGATTTTGTGGTTCTAGGTTTTGGTCAAACTTTTCAGGTTGTAGCTTGTTATCGAAATTTAATGTATGATTTGGCTAATTGAATCAATTGTTTTTTGTTCTCTGTAATCTGTATTAGATAGATATACCTTTTGCTCTGTTTGAGGATCCTATCTGGTTTGGTGTTTTCATGGTTTTCAGTTTCATGTGCTAACTCTTTCAATTTGTTCCTTTTTTTTGTTTGTTTTTGCAGTCGACTCTATCAGCAGCCAGGGCGGATAACTTTTACTATCCCCCGGAATGGACTCCGGATCAAGGTTCCTTGAACAAGTTTCAAGGACAGCATCCTCTGAGAGAGAGGGCAAAGAAAATTGGCGAGGGGATTTTGGTCATTAGGTAATATACATACTGTATTGGCGTGACTCTATGTTAAAGTCCCTACCTTGTGTAATTTCTGTTGATCAATCAGAAGCTTTGTTTTTGTTGAATTGGCAGGAGGGTACTCTCAGTTTGGTTAAAATTTTCATACATGCTTTTATTTTGTTCAGGTTTGAGATGCCCTATAACATATGGTGTGGTGGCTGCAATTCTATGATCGCCAAGGGTGTTCGATTTAATGCAGAAAAGAAGCAAGTTGGGAACTATTATTCTACAAAGGTATGATTGAGAGTTTTTCTTTTCTTGATGATCACTTAGATATGAAACTTTAAAAATCTGATTCTCTACTGCGGTCGGAAAAAACCTTTGATTGCTCAAATACATGTACACTACATTGTATATTCTCGTTTTGCATGGCTGAGGTTTATATCTTATCATGGTTAGATATGGAGCTTTGCAATGAAATCACCATGCTGCAAACATGAGATAGTCATTCAGACAGATCCGCAGAATTGCGAGTATGTAATCACTAGTGGTGCCCAGAAGAAGGTCGAGGAGTATGATGTAGAAGATGCAGAAACCATGGAGCTCACTGCTGAGGAAGGTTGGTTTCCTTCTCCTACTACAAGTTTGCATTTAGAAGCTCTATAGTCATCTCAATAGCTTATCCTTGTTATTTGGTGTGGCATACTAATCTTGACATGCTTTGATGAACTTGTGCAGAGAAGGGAAAGCTTGCGGATCCATTTTATCGTCTAGAGCACCAGGAAGTAGATTTGCAGAAGAAGAAAGCAGCAGAACCGCTTTTGGTCCGTCTCCAACGAGTCTCTGATGCAAGACATGCTGATGATTACGCCATAAACAAAGCTCTACGTGCACAACTTAGGGTTAGTTTGCAAGTTTTGCTCTGCTTGCAATCTGATTTTCCTATGTTCTAACTTCATCCTCTCATTTTGCCAGGGACACAGAAAACGTGTAGCAGAAGAAGAGGCTGCCTCAAGGAAGATAGGGCTAGGGATAAGACTTCTTCCAAAGAGTGAAGAAGATATGAAAGCAGCCTCAAACGTGAAATTCAAAACCAAGTTTGATAAGAACCGAAAGGACAAACGAGCACTAATCCATGCATCTTCCATATTTCCGGAGTCATCTTACTCAATGTCATCATCGAGCAAGAAAAGAATGGAGCTAGAAGCAAAGAGAAGGAAGATAAGCGCAGCATCAGCGTCGAGTCTATTGAGAGGAGGTTTCAAAGCTTCAGCAATGTCTAAAACACCATCAGCAAGCAAGTCTAAGGTTTCATCAGTTTCTGTAAGGAAGCTGTAGTTTCTTAGCAACCTTGTGCTTGTATCGTTTGAGAAGAAAAATCAATGTAAGAAACAAAAAGAGGGTCAACTAATTAATTATCAGTGACGATGTTTCTACGTTTCTACGTTTGGAAAATGGAATTTGGTCCTGACTTTGTTTGGTTTGTTATTTTCTCTAATGTCGTCAGTTTGTCTTGTAACAATAAAAGTCTCCGTTAAATAGCATTAAAATACAACCATTGTACTGTATTTTTTTCATTCTTGTCGTGTCATATACAAACTTACAGAGCCGTGTGCCTGTGTACGTTATACACACTTAAATGATGTGAAAAGAAAATCAATATTTTTTTTATTTTTTTTTTGTTTTTTTTTGTTTTTAGTATCTGATATGAAAAGGCTATTCTGTAACCAATCTATTGGAACTAGATTAATAGTATGTGAAAACTTAAAAAAAAAAACAAAAAAAAAAAAGCACACGAGGAGATGGAAGATTAAACACTAATGGCTTTTTGCTCTTCATTTGTCAGGATAAATATAATAATTTTCTGGAAAGTGGATGATAGTCCACCAAATTATGTCGTATTATCTCATCATAAAAGTACATTTTTCATACTATCATTATATTAACCCATCCTTTATCTCTGCATAATGATTATAAATTAATACAGAGATAAAGAAAGCATCCCAGCCGTTGATCTATACGACAATCGGTGTTATGATTGAAGTCAATGCAAAGTCGTCGCACTATACCGAGTCGCAGGCAACAAATGCTCTCACACTTCCAAAAAAAAAAAAACATAAAACTGGCGCCTCTCTTTCTTCTCCACTTCCCAGTTCTTTCGGGACGAGAGATTTTATTGTCTCTCAAAATCTTTAAAATGGAAAAAATAAAAGAAAAGAGATAAAACTTTATTTCGTAACAGTAGTAGTAGTATTAATCCGGACTCGAGTTTTGAGAATATCCTTACTTTGCAACCTTTAGTATCAATTTTTACATTTCCAGAGAGAGAGAGAGAGAGAGGGGGTGAGACTTGTCTAGGGTTTTTCCGATTCTGCTTCTCTTTGTTCTCTGATCTTTTTCTTCATCAAGCTGTCATGGCTGGGTAAGTACTTTTACTCTTTCTAATTCGCTCTTGATTTTGTCTTGGTAATGGTGTTTTTAGTTGAGACTCAAACCCTAAGTACGATCCTCTCGATTGCAATTTTGAAGTAGAAATCAAAAGTTTGTATCTTTTTTTGTTTGTTTCTTTGTGTGTCAACTGAGCTTTCTGATTTCTCCGATTTGTCAAAGTTAAGCGCGAAAGGAATTTACTTTGAAATCTACATTTTGGTATTTTCACTGTTACATTTTTTTTTAAGAAAGAAGGGTTTTTTTTTTTTAAAGTTTCCTGTCGTAAGATGCTTTTTTCTCCCAAATATATGTTTGATCGACGAGACGAGCTTGAATTTCGTAAATCTTACTACCTTTTTAACTGCTGTTTGGTATCCACAATATGTCTGTAGCTTATATCTGTATCACATTTTCGATGTCTGCTACTCTATCCAAGTATGGTGGAACATATTCCATGTTTCAGACCCTCTTTGTTCCTTAATGAGGACCACAAACACGAGTTTCCTGCTCACTCTAGATTCGGCAGACCAAATTTTTGGTCTTTCAGGAAATCTGGGGATTTAGTTTTGTGTTTGTTATGTGACCTTGTCTTCTTTAACCTGTATTTTGGGAATGGCATTGGAAACTTATTCTACACCTTTACTAGATCGATATGTTATGGTTTCATCTTTCTGAGAATTCTGCTCTGTCTTGATTTATGGAGTTACTGTCTTGAGTCTTGACCAATACTTACTCTTTTTTGCTGTATGCAGACGATCATGGTTGATCGATAGCAACCGGATTGCAACAAAAATTATGAGTGCATCGGCTGGTTCAGACCCTCGCCAAGTTGTGTGGAAAAGCAATCCTACAAGACATTGTCCAAACTGTCGACATGTCATTGACAACAGTGATGTACGGTTTGCTCTTTTGTTTCATTTGATGTTTATTCTCTAATATAATAACTCTATATAGTTGTAATATTAACAAGTTTTTTCCCATTTTCAGGTTGTTGATGATTGGCCAGGCTTGCCTCGAGGTGTGAAGTTCGATCCATCTGATCCAGAGATCATATGGCACTTGCTAGCAAAATCTGGTTTGTCAGGTTTAAGTTCTCACCCGTTCATCGATGAGTTCATCCCAACAGTCAATCAAGATGATGGAATCTGTTACACTCATCCTAAGAATTTACCAGGTTAGACAATGCAGGTTTATACTTTCTTGTTTCAGTCATCATAGAAGTTCTGATTTTTACATTATCTCACTTAAATTGTAATTATTTAGGTGTTAAGAACGATGGAACAGTCTCCCACTTCTTCCACAAAGCAATCAAAGCCTATAGCACAGGAACTCGAAAGCGTAGAAAGATTCATGACGACGATCTTGGCGATGTGCGCTGGCATAAGACAGGAAGAACGAAACCAGTCGTGTTGGATGGTGTTCAAAGAGGCTGCAAGAAAATAATGGTTCTCTATGGCGGAAAAGCTGTGAAAACGAACTGGGTGATGCACCAATATCACTTGGGAATTGAAGAAGATGAGAAGGAAGGCGATTATGTTGTTTCTAAGATCTTCTACCAGCAGCCACAGCAGCAAGTAGTCAAGCAAGGTGATAAAGCTGAACAAGAAGTCTCTGAGGAAATCTTTGCTGCAACGACTCCTAAAGCGGATCCTGTCACTCCAAAACTGGCTACACCAGAGCCTCGTCATGCTGTGCGACTTTGTTCTGCTTCTCACA